AAGGCAACCTTTCATGAAACAATGCATGGATTCGGCCCCTATAAATATATTGGGGCGAGTGTATACGTACGATAGCCCGAGACCGGGTGACCATGATTGTGATAGAGTCGTGAACAACGTTCACTTTCCGAAAAGAATATTTCCACCCTCAACAAGCCTAGGGTTACAGGAAATTTCTCCCGAGGATAAAACTATCACCACTTTAGGTTCCAGACTCAAGAACACTAAAGCATACCTAGAAATTTTTGGAAGAAAGAAGAAGAATATGTTTGATGGTCTGTGGCATCATCCACCCCACACATATTTATAGGGGCCGAATCCATGCATTGTTTCATGAAAGGTTGCCTTTATCCATACGAAAGGTTGCCTTTATCCATATGAAAGGTTGTCTCTATCCATAGGAAAGGTTATCCTTATCCATATGAAGGGTTGCCTCTATCCATATGGTTATCCTTATCCATAAAATAATGCAACCGCCACTAGGACAAAGGGATGTGTCCCTTCATGGAATTAGAATATCGGTTCGGTCGGTCTAATCCCAAACCGGTTGGTCGGTCCAACCCAAAACCGGTTTGACTTGGTTAGTCCGGTTCAACCAAATTTCCAACATTCCTCCCTTATTTTAGTGTATTATTAGAATTCACTAAAATCACAACATTCTTCCAACAAAACTTTAGCATAAATGAAAATGTCGTGACGATTGAATTTTCACCTTAGTATATTACACTTGACGAATACTCGAATACAAAGGGTGTCGGTAACGATTGAACCCATTGACTCATATGAATATTCGAAGATAATATACACTTAAGTTTTCAAAACTTCTAAGTGCCTTGACACTATTATCCGCCATGTGTCCAATCCTTCTCATAAGCGCACACGAAACCAAAGTCCGGGTTTCTTGAAGCGACTACACTTCATGCTTACGTAGGTCGAATCTTTTATTCGTGTACCCGCATAATACACTTTGTCAAAGATTCAATTAAGAAGTTTTGAACTTCATCCTCTTCTCTCATGCAGATAACAAGCACATACCTCGGGATGACAAATTTTGTGCTTCAATTTCTGATAATAAGCTTTCCACATTGAATTCAGCCTCTAACGTTGTATTAGAGGGGAATTGGGTGTCCCATTACCAGAAATTATATGGACTTTAATCCATCCCTTTCACAGACTTATTCACCAAGTCACTAGTTAACCACTTCGTCAAATGATCAACCAAATTAATTCGAGTTTGGTCATACTGTCTAGACACAGCACTATGAATGATCAGTTCACAACTTTTACCGTGCCTTACTCCCACATGACCGTACTTGTCATTTTCACTTGACTATATGCCTTAGCCAAATTAGCATCACTTGACTATATTTCTCCATTTTACGAATCATTCTCCTTCTTCCTCATCTTCGAATCATCCATCTTCCAAGTTACCTTCCTGATATGGAAGACACCATGAGACTAGTACGAAGAAAAACCATCTTCTACTTCCATCGATGAGATACCCATCATCGAAAATCCTCATAATTCCATAGACCGGAACCGATTTCTTGTAAAGAGTGGTTCGAGCCATCGTACCGAAAAATATTCTTTTCGACTGTTGGGACTTTTTGGGGCAAGGGTATACGTACGATAGCCCGAGATCGGGTGACCAGGATTGTGATAGAGTCGTGAACAACGTTCACTTTCCGAAAAGAATATTTCCACCCTCAACAAGCCTAGGGTTATAGGAAATTTCTCCCGAGGATAAAACTATCACCACTTTAGGTTCCAGACTCAAGAACACTAAAGCATACCTAGAAATCTTTGGAAGAAAGAAGAAGAATATGTTTGATGGTTTGTGGCATCATCCACCCCACACATATTTATAGGGGCCGAATCCATGCATTGTTTCATGAAAGGTTGCCTTTATCCATACGAAAGGTTGCCTTTATCCATATGAAAGGTTGTATCTATCCATATGAAAGGTTATCCTTATCCATATGAAGGGTTGCCTCTATCCATAAGGTTATTCTTAACCATAAAATAATGCAACCGCCACTAGGCCAAATGGATGTGTCCCTTCATGGAATTAGAATATCGGTTCGGTCGGTCTAATCCCAAACCGATTGGTCGGTCCAACCCAAAACCGATTTGATTTGATTAGTCCGGTTCAACCAAATTTCCAACATGCTATATGATCATATGTATGCTTTCTCGATGGTTGGCAATTAAGATTGAAGACTGAACATATTGAATCGATGGAGTCCCACTAGGCTGTTGCGACTTGCGAGTGTGACCGCCATTGAAAATGTGATCACCACATCAACTCGAACAAATCGGAAGCTCTTTTTTTATTATTTTCCCCCCTATTCGAAACGTTTTTTTAAGTAGATCAAGAATTTGAATGGAGTAATCATTACATCATTAAGTAACAGCCACCACCGGCCAGGGCAGTTGACAATAATAACAATGATGTGTCACATATTTATACTCTCGTTGTTGACACATTCAATTCAATTGTAACCATAAAACGTACAACAACGGAAAACCCTAGAAAATTATGGACAGAGACAGTCCAAATTTAGAAAATGTGGGGGAAAAAAATGATAATGATCTTTTGGGGGCAGGTCCATTGCATGGAACTCATATTATTTGCAATATCAGTATATCACATTAAATTGTAGCTGTAGGAGAGGCAAGCTACTTCATAACAAAAAGTGAGTAAAAAAATGTACGTCGGCGGCGGAGCCAGAAATTTGAATGAATAACCTTATTTGATTGTCATAATTGGGGTAGAGTAGAGGGGCAAAAGCCTTACCGATTATTCTAGTTTCAACTGCGCGTCTCTCTTAACTTTAACGTAGTTCCACCAGAATGGATCGTGCATATAAGTAAATATTAGTAAGAACGAAATGTATATAACGAGCTAAGAACAAATATAATCAATTATATTCATATTTTGTTACCACTACTCGCAAGATAAACAATATTCATATACGACGACATAAAATTACACGAATCAAATTGAAATTAACATCGATCTATTTCCAAAAGAGTAAGGGGTCATTTGGATGAGGAATTGTAACGGATCATTTTTTTTTTTTGTAGCAATGTAACGGATCAATTTGACACAATTGTCTCGTTTTTAGACAATTGTACCAAATTGTCTCGTTTGCTAGCAAAAGAATTGGATGGATCAATCTGCCTGAGGTATTTTGAATTGATCCATTTTGAGTCAATTTTAATTACCTGAGATGGGAACAGATAATTCGAATTGACTCGTTTTAATTGCCCCGTTTATAACACGAGACAATTGATCAAATTGACTTATTTTTAAATTGATCCATCTAAACGAACTCTAAGAAAAATCCATTGATTAGTGTTTAATCTATTGCGAGACGGATCAGAATGGGATTAGAGACGGATCAGAATGGGATTAGAGAGAGAGAGAGACAGAGCAGGTGGCAGCAGAATTGAATAATTTAGTGGTGGTGGTGCGTTTGTGGACTCCTACTCCAAAATCATCTATCTCTATATTTCCCCCCGATTTTTCATTGTTGACTTCTAATCAAATACTGTTCAAGTTCTCGGATAGAATTCATTTTATTTTATAATGTATAATTCATTGTCAAATAAATTTATGTATTTGGTATGTTATATTCAAATTTTTAATAATAAATGAATTTCCAAACTATGTTTGACATACGTTTAAAATTGAATTAAATTAAAAGTTTGTCCACCGACACCGTTATTAATTTTTCGGATGAAACAATATTCATTGAAAATGTCTCTGGTCTCATACGAACAATATAAAATATGTGCTTGTGCGCTTCTATTCTATATATTCATTAGTTCTTTTTCTAATACTTCGTCGATGAACTAATCTAGTTGTGCGTTCTCAGCGTACTGATATAATCGAAGCATAAATATAAAATAACCAACATATTCTACTAGCGTTGCAATCAAATTCTTGGTGACATTCCTCATATCGCAACAATTGGCGCCAAACAATATATGTAAAAGTAATTTAGTTAACAAATGATGATAATTATGTCATTCTATTATAATTATTAAATACTCGTGGAATTCATTCGTAAATTCCATCTCAATTCCTCGGAATTGCAACAACTAGTTCTAATTTCGTAGAATTCAAAATTTAGAATTGAAAATGAATTCTTTTAATTATCAAACACAAAGAATATTTTTTTTCAAAATAAATTCCTCAAAACTTATGAAATTTATTTATACCAAACTGTAGATAAGAATAAAAAAAAAGTACAGTGGTGTTTCATTCAAGGTGGCAGGTTACTATTTACTAATATTAGGTGTCAGTTAAGCATATGTATGATTTTTGTTTTCTGGAAAGGTAATAATATTCCCGACCAGTTTAACACGATTCGTGGAGTACAAGACACGTCTAATAATAGGAAAAAACATGAAGGTATAATGCTACGTATATGTAATATGAATTTATACAATTGATTTCTGGATCTAATTGTTGTAAATCCGACCTTAATTAATTAATTAGCGATTCCTGGCTTCACCATATTCCTAGTCTAACACTGCCCCTTCAGTCTTCAGCAACAACTTTTGCCGCCACCCCTAGAAACCCACATCAATAATGAAACTATTAATTGCTACTCATAACAATAAATAAATAACAGGACGGCCCATCGCGTGGCGGAAACAGCTCTTGCATCGGCTAATCACCATTTGGTTGATTTCCGTTATTTATTTTTCAATTATTTGTAATTTCCTATCTATTATTCTTCTATCTATGGAAAAAAATAAAAATAAATAAATAATACTAAATATATAGGATTCAGTTTCAAACACTCTAAATGATTCACTTTCAAACACTCTAAAAGGAGGAAAATCCAAAATCACTAGAGTATTTTTTTTTTTGGCAAAATCCTCCTTTTGATTCGTTGGTTCCATAACACTACAAAGAAATCATCTGCATAAATACTGAATACATACTCACAACATATACATTATCAAATCCACAAAAAAATCTTAACAAACAATCACAAAACTCCATCAATTAACGAGCAACTCCATAGCTCCAAATTTTACATAATATTGCATTTTCACGATCAGCTCGAATTGGATGATGCTTTAAGAAAGGGTTGTAAGTGAATCAAGTTTAGCCAGATTGAGCTCGGCTCATTAATAAATAAATAGAATTTTTAAATGAATTTTTTTTAGTTGAACGCCGAGCCACTCATGAATAAATTACTCGGCTCATTTGCAGCTCAGCCGCAATATCCTGGTAGTTTCAAAATTTAGCAATAATCAAAAGTAGAAAGAAAGAACCTTCATCAATGGGGACGGGTTGACTTGACTTAGTGGAACAAACGCCATTAAAAGCAAAAGCAAAGAAAAGATAATCATCTTTTTATTATTAGACAGCACACACAATCTCGACTCGAGGGAATTACTTGGGAAAAGGATTACTACCCACTTCTCTTCCATTTCCGTTCCTCTTTTTCTGCTCCCTGATAAACGCTAGCCAACAAACCAACAAACAAACACATCGCAGATTTGCAGGAATTCCAGCAGCAGCAGCAGCACTAGTATAGTATTGTTTCTCGCTGCTCTCTTCTCTGACACAAAAAAGAAGAAGAAGAAAATGGTGGTGGTGGTGATCGACAGAAGCAGGCTGCGGCATCAGAGTGCGTATTTGACTACTTTCTCTGTATATCTTCTCTCATCTTTCCTTCTCGCTTCTAATACCTTCGCTCCCACGGAAAGAATTTCCTCCCATGACACTTGCCTCCTTCTGCTTCTTCTTTAATTAATGGAGGCGGCTAACTGTTTGTGAGACCATGACTTGGGCTGCTTCAACGAGAATCTGCCGCAGTTTCCCCCTCTGTCTATTGCTCAGTTCAGATCTGCCGATTTCATTAAGCTTTGTTTTTGCTTCTTCGTCCTCATCAATCTAACCCCCTTCTCATTAATGGCTTCCGCAGGCGCTCCAGCCTTGTGAGTGGTGACAGTTGAGAGGGAGGAAAAGGGGAGAATCGTGCTAAAGGATCAATCTTTTTCCCACCCCCGAAGCAGGGCAGAGGTCAGCTCAGAGAAAAAAAGAAGGCAACTTTGTGGAAATGGCGGGTTTAGGGGATGGAGCAGGAAGTTCTAGTGGAGGAGCTCCGGCGGCGGTAGCTGCGAAGATCCGGCTTGTGCGGTGCCCGAGATGTCGGCAGGTTCTCCCTGAGCTACCCAATGTCCCTGTTTACCAGTGCGGTGGCTGTGGCACCCACCTCCAAGGTAATGTCTTTTGACTTGTTTCATTAAACCCTAATCCTAATGATTCCCAGAGTGTGAGTTCGATTGATCATAGATGAAACTGTCTTACGGAATCTCTGTCTGCGCAGCCAAAATCCGCCCACCGAGTGGGGAAAATCCCCCCTCAAATTTCAGTAATGGGTCGTCGGCTGCTTCTGTTTCTGCCGACATGAATACATCGGCATCTGCAAGCTGTAGCAGTAGTTCTGTTCATCCGCCTGTTGTTCAAAATTCCTCTGCCTATGGGTCTGGGGAGATTTCCCTGGATTCTCCAGTTGGATTAAAGGATTTAACTTTCATCACGCCTTCGAATGATGATGATCAGAAGTCTGAGAGCAAGGCATCAAATGGGCCTGTGAGTGAAGAGATTGATGAGAACGAATGCAGTGATCAGCAGCAGCAACAGCTCCCTGGGGTTGACTCTGAAGTTTCCATGGGAGACCAAGTTGTGAGAGTGGAGAAGATGGATGTGGCTGATTATGGAGAGTCTTCGGATCGTGATGCATTTGTTGAGAAGGAAGAAATGTTCCCAGATGTTGGAGTGGATTCTGAACAAGAAGTCGATAGAGGTGGTGAGAAGATTGCTCAAGTAGATGTCATAAACTCGACTCCTTTGGACTCGAGAAGATCGAGCAAAGAGAATGCTAAAAGTGAGAGTCCTTTAACCTCGAGAAGATCGAGTACAGAGAAGATAGGTTATACTGCTACAGAGAATGTCAAAAGTGAGAGCCCTTTGGACTCGAGAAGATCGAGCACAGAGAAGAGGGGTTATACTACTACAGAGAGCACCTCGACAACAGTCACTGGTGGGAGCCCTGCAATTGGAGAAAGCATCTCTGAAGACACTCATTCGGGTCTGCCACCTCGTGACAAGCAGCAGCTCAATCGGCTCCAAGAAAGAGTACGCCATGAGATAGATAATCGTCAGCGCTACGTAGTAGAAGACACATTTGAAGCATCTGATGATTTCATGAACAACATGAGTTCCGAGCTAAGTGAGATGCTTGTAGATTTGTCCAAATCTCCAACCACCAGAAGTACTCATGCTTATTATGAGGGCTTCTCCTCTTACGAAGGGACTGATCATGATCAGATGCCTGGCGGTAGATACAGACCTCATTACAGGAATCCTTATGGCTATAACCCTGGGAACTATAATAATATTGCTGAAGAAAGGGAGGAAGAGAATCACAATGCCCTTCCCGGTAGGAACTTCGGGATGCAGCAGTATCAGCATCAAAAGAACTATTATTCCCCAGATATGAATCAATATCTAGAAAGGGATGGACTTTTGCCTCAAAGTCCTCTACATGCAAGGAGTTACATGAATGGCTATGGAAGTGGCAGCTCCCCCTATCATTTGCAGGGTGGATTTCATGGCAACTCAAACTTCCACCCGCCAATTAACCCTGTCGACATTGAGCAGGAGAAGATCAGGTTATTGAGAATGGTTTATGAGTTGGAAGATCGACTTACCAGATCTTGCTCCCTGAACGATAAAGCTAGTAATGGAAGTGTTTCAGCTGCAGGTCTTTGGAGGGATCAGCAGGTCCCCAGGCCATATAGAGAGGCAAGCAGCTGGTCTCAGCCTCAGCAAATGCAGCAGCATTCGAGAATACCATACTCGGCTGAAGCAACAACAAATGGCGGCAGGCACAAAATGGATCATTCTTTCTGCTCTACAAATTGCAATAACCATAACAGAGCATTTTGCAGGGTTCACTCTGATGCAAATGTTTGCAACTCGTATGCCTCTTGTCCCTCTACTCCTCAAAGACACATGGGGTTCGGTGATCAAAGGCCTAACAGAGATCATGGTTTGAAGAAGTATCACTTAGCCAATAAGAAGCATCTTCTCCCTGTAGCCGGAGGAGCACCATTCTTGGCTTGCCCTCGTTGCTTGAGCCAGCTGCAACTGCCTGCAGACTTCCTCCTTTCTAAGAGGAAGTGCCATCGGCTGCGATGTGGTTCCTGTTCTGAGATACTCAAGTTTTCACTTGTCGACAGAACTCGCTTGGTCCCTTACTCACCCACTGCAAATGCATCATCTGGTTCCTTTAAACACGTTGGACATAGAAAGAGGGTAATCTCAGACAAGCGGGGTAAGGATCCGGTGGAAGCATATGATGCTGTTGGGCCTTCCGATAGCAAGGGGAAGAAGGAGAAGAAATCTACAGAAATTGAGATAGAGGAGAGAGGAGGGTCGCCACTTCATCGACTAATGGGGTACTCCACACTCAGCGCTGTCCTTGTTGGCACTGGCGCAAGGGTGTAGAAAGGGTTCCATATACAGGAGCCTAGCTCAAATATGGACTGTGAATTCTCTGCATTCAATTTGGTCCTTTTCATTTCTCACTGAAGTGAATTGGGGGCGGCAGCTCAGAGTGAACAGTAAATAGTATAGAAGGTAGAAAGTTCGATTTTGTTGGAGCTGTGTGTGTATAGAAATTCAGAAGAAGAGAAGACTCCAACTTGATTTCATTGATTTATTTAGGCATTCAGGGTATAGTTGATTCTGCATGTTGATTTTGTTTCTTTTGAGGGCTTTATTTGTGGTGTACTATAAAAGAAGGAAGAAACTGGTTGTTTTGCCAAATGCAAACATGTATAAACACTACTTCAGTTTTGTCATTTCTGGCAATGTTTCTATGCTAAGAGCCATTGCCTTATTTGGGGACTAATTACTTCATCATAGATGCTAGAAGGTAAGCAAGCACTCGGTGAGCAATCGAACGACATCAACCCCGGCATACGCCCACCCTTACTCTGTTAGCATGACAGCCGAATTAATGTTCATAATACCTGTCCTCATTTGATCCGAAAGCTAGAGAGTAGCTGGCTAAAAGCAAAAAGTTCGTTCCCATTCAGTTCAGACTTCAGATGCAACTTTTCAGACTCCTTTGTGAAAGGCCAACAAAATCCAGAACACGGTAGGTTTCATAACCATGTCCCTTTGAGAACCTTTACAGCTTTCTTCTTTTATCTTTTTGTCATCCAATGATCAAATCTCTCTTTCCACTTTCCAGCTCTCCACTGTGCAAACAACTACAAGCTGTACCAGTATCATAGGGATGGCCACTGACATACATAACCTTTTTCTTGATGTGATAAATAGGTGTCCACTCTTTTTTATGCAGAGAAAAATGTTGTCATTGGTTTGTACTATACAGCAGCTACCCATCTTGATTCTTGCCAAATTGATTAATACTAAATACATCATCATGGCAACGTAGTGGGGGATCTCTCTAGGAAATCATATATACTTTTCCTATTCTTGTCTACAGCATATTCGAGGTAGCCCAGTTACCTGTATTCTGGGTAGGGGGAAAACATGACAGAAACAATAATATCGAGCTGGTTTCGACAGATAATATCAGTTGAGGTCTTCCCTCTATCTGTTTCTGCGGTTTGAGACGATGGAAATCCTCTGATCCTGAAGCATGTTCATGTTAGGAGCCAACAACCGTGTGTACCGGTCAAAATACAGAAGTTGTTTCAGGAGAAGTGCAAACTCCCTAGGGAATCTGAGCCCATATGATTCGCTTACTCGAACCTGTTCCCCATAACAAAAACCCATAGAAGGAAAATACATCATCAGAAGTTCCAGTTCATAAGGACAGTTTAAGTTCCATATCTTGAATATCCATTCTACTTACCACATCAAGAAAAAGTGCATTCATCTGCCTTTCATCAAGGACTACATTGGCAGAAACAGCAGTTGCGTTTGTACTAGGATCCCTTGCTGTTGCCACTACTAGTTCTGTGTCCAATTCCTGCGTCATGAGAGCAAAATCCCACTAAATTCCTGAACTCTAGGCCATTATATTAAGCTAAAGAAAGAGGAGCAATGCTTACCTGTATAGATGAGAATATCTTTTCCAAGTCTCTTGCAAAGGACTTGGTATCAACATCTTTGTTTGTAGCACCCATTTCAATAAGTGCAGATGCCATGGAGTCATATTCTTCGGTTGCAATTGATGCCAGAAACACTTCCATAGCTTCCCATGTCTTTGGGGATATCCGTCCAACGATTCCTGAAGAACAGAAATCACTTTATTCTATCAAAAGGGACCTCGAAACACAATAGTCCAATCAGCTACCTAGTAGTCAGCTTGGCCAAGAAAAAGAACGACCATGGTAAACTCATAGCTACTGGTAAGAATAGAAAATAGTGATTTTGCGCAAACTCTGAAGTACAACTTACCAAAATCAAGAAACCCGATCCGACCATCACGCAACAACCACAAGTTTCCTGCATGTACATCGGCATGGAAACTTTCACATGCAAGAAGACTTCCGAACCTACAATCAAAATTTGATTAGAATCGATTAGGTTTGTTAAACTTGGTAGATACATGCAAAGTGAACCTTAAGCATTGTCTGTATTGGAAAACCTACCACACATTAAGGGCAGTAATGAGGCTTGCTTCTGGATCGGACACAAATGAGCTTATGGAGTTGAGATCAGTGAGTGGGACTCCATATAGTCTCTCCATTGTCAGAACTCTACGGCTGCTGCAGTGGTGATATACCTTTGGAGCTGTAGCCTGTCTTGTGAGTCCCATAGCCATTAAATATCTTCTAAATGATTCAATATTTGCAGCCTCCTTAGTAAAGTCAACTTCTTCGAGCATGGATGCTCTTATGTCTTGGACAATACCAACCTACAAAAAGTAAGTCTGGCTGAAAATGAACCTCCAAGAAGTACACCAAGTAAAGAAAAAAGTTCCTATCTTAAGAAATTACTAGAGTGAACTTCAGCTATGGCATGGTGACTCTGTGCTTAAGAAATTATGAGAATCCCATATTTACTTTAGGTATCTCACGCTGGCAGACAATTTAAGTTATTTTCCAGATCTCACTCTTGTATGAAATGGAGACACTAATCAAAATGATAACACTGTTCCTTTAACATGAGAGAAGAGTGATAATAAGGAAAAGGGTCTAAAGTTAGCATCCAATTGATGAGAATGGAACCAATACAGACTAGGAAACAGAAAAGGCATAACATCTTACCAGTGATGCACGGCTAACCTCAGGACTTAAGAACTCCAATATGCGGGCGACAATATATATGAAATTTAGATCTGCCACTAAAACATCTGCTATTCCTGGTTTCAGGACCTTTATCACCACATCTTCTTGGGAGCCTTTCAGTCTCGCAGCATGAACCTGAATAAATGAACATTTATTTTGGTAAACCAGTTTGGAGGTAGAGAGAGATGTAATGCAAGACTTAATGGGGTAAATTCCAGAGGAATCTGTACCTGTGCTATGGAGGCTGAGGCAAGTGGGGTTGGGTCAACATACTCATACACAGACTCAATTGGTCTTCCGAGTTCCTGACGCAAGATTTCTTGAATTTCTTGAAAGGGAACAGGTGGAGCTCTATCAAAACACTTCTGAAATTCTTCAACATACTCGGGTGGGAACAATGTTGGAGCAGATGCTACAAACTAGCAAAGAGCAAACTAAGACAGCATCAGCACACAGAAAAGTAAACTGAATGGAAGCTATTTTTCTAGTATCAATGTGCGAAGTTTTTCTAGTAACAAGCATGGACCCAATACCCATGGACCAAAGTCAATGGCTACCAAATATCAATCGATATGAATACTTGAGCTACTTATCTAGGAAATTTTCAACAATAGGTCAGGTTGGATATAGATGATTCTTGCTTTTCGCAGTTCCAATTTATTTCACAAGAGTTGTTGCCATTGAATCTGTGTGCCCTTGAACACAACATGAGCTTGTTAATGAGAAAATTTACCTGGCCCAATTTAATATATGTTGCTCCCATCCGCTCAAATAATCTCCTCAAATACACTGGAGAAAGAATCCCAAGCCGCATGTCAACCGGTAGCCCACTAGAGGAATTTGGTGACTGCAAACAGTGAAAGGAAGTAAGCCATTCTGCCCTTTGTTTGTGCTTTAATATAAGCTTGCTTTCACATGGTTAAGCCTTCGTGTAACATCAAGGAGAAGGAAACAAACAAATGATTAACACAAAGTAAGTGAGAGTTTTTAACTCAACAACAACGATAGTTCACCATTATAAGTTTACCAAGAGCTTTCCTGAATGAGTGTAAATTCCAGCTTTATCGTGCACATGGAGGTTGCACAACCATTTCTATGTAGAATTAAATATGCCAGAAATGGGATTGCAATACATCATTAAGTAGTATCTTAAAGAAACAGAAAGTTAAGGTACATATAACTTACGAACATAACTTCACGGTTTGTGACAATTTCATCCATCTTAGGTTCAGGTTATTTCCTCTAGATTGGCAAATAAACAATATAGCTAAAGCAACCAAATTAGCTGAAGAGGAGTCACTGGGTGCCTACCCTTGATGCATCTTGCAGCCACTCCCCGCCAACTCCAATGACTGCTTGAATACCTTGAGCAAGTCTCAGTGGTCCACGTGGGCCTGTATTAAGAGATGTCTGAACAATATCCTCCACCAGTTTGGGCAAGTTCTCTAGGCTATCTGAGAATAGATATGGAGGAAGCTTAAGCAGAGAGCTCAGATAAGAAAAGTGAAGCATAATTAGAGCCAAAAGATGGAAGACAACAGCACTTGTTCTCACAGAACAGTTTTGAATTCTCAATTCTCCCATGAAGTTGATCTTTTTTGTGGTCTTAAATGCAAACAGAAATTGAACACGAGGAGCACTAATTCATCTTCTATACTGATTTTTCCAATACTATTCCTGTATTACAGCATCTATTCCAAACCAAAAGCTGATAGATTAACAAGGGAGGAGAATTTAAGATACCTTGGAGACGCGAGGAGAACATCGACTGAGACTGAGCTTGAGAATACTGAGCGAAAAGGGTGAAGCGCTTTGCAAGGTTTCTCAATCTCTTGTTACCAAGTGGCGACTGTGACAGACCAAAAGTAGGCAACAAGTAATCCCATCAAGGAAAAATTTGAGCAAACCCCTGAACCCATATCTGATAACATGAAAAATTGAAGGAAAGTGCCGAGCTTTTTACCTCAGGAGTGAGGCGAGGAATCGGGCAAGGATTGGAGAAAGAGAAACGAGAACCTCCTCTCAGGGCAGATACAGAGATCATCGCCATGGCGTTTGGTGTTCTCGCTGCGCTGCAGGACAAGGATTGGAGAAGACTAGTAGAGAGAGAGAGAGAGAGAGAGAGAGAGAGAGAGCAGGCGGAGAAGTGAAGACTGTAAATTTGGTCGCTCGATTCAAATGCTAAGCAGCCGACCGTACTGGTGGCTGCAACCAGTGAGAGCCCGGGGGATTGACAAATTTCTCAATGTGGCAACGAAGAAAAAATCTGTCAGCAAATTTAGAACCCGGGGGAGGAAGACGGACGAGAAGAACGCCACGTGTCAGGCTATTTGTTCATTGAATGGTTGCTAAAATGCTATTGGTGTGTCACTCTTCATTAGTGTATTTTTTATTCACACTCTTTTCGATATAATCCATACGACCTGGGAGTAAAAAAAAAAGAGGCCACTGAATTTCTGGATTGTGAACACTCACGTTTTATCTCAAAATTTTCATTGAAATGCTTCAATTAGAGAACCATTTTTTCCACAGTTATTTTTAATTTGATGCTGCAAACTTGTTATACGTATTAGCAACCGTTTCCGGATGTTGTTCCCCTCCCAAGGATAGGTTCTTACGCATTATTCATCCGTCCACCACTGGAAACATCACTTCTCGTTCGATTTGCATGTGTTAAGCATATGCCAGAAGAACGAAGTTATCTCGAATTGGATTTGAAATAACTGGAGCTTATCCAGATTTTCCGTTTCCTTTTGGGTAGTTTTCTTCAATCAATTAAAAGTGGAATCTCGAAAATATGCGAGGAAGAAGAGAGAGGAGAGTGGAAGAGATTGAGGCGAAATGAGATAGGCAACTCATTCATTCATCTTACGTCTTGTTCACTTTCCATTTTATTTTCTATTGTAAAAATGAAAATAAAAAAACAAATGATAAGAAACGTGTTCATTTGTAGTTTCGTTTTCGTTGGAAAAATTCATTTGGCATAAATGAGGAAGCTAGAAGGAAACCATTAAAACTTGTTTCCTGGAAATAATGGGACGGGTTATTCTTTAGGTAACCAGAGCGTGGAGCGAGAGCGGGAGCGGGAGCGAGAGCGAGAGCGTCAATTTCTCAAGAATTCAATATCGAGAGCGCGAATAAAGCGTCATTATTATTTATTTTATTTTAAATTTAAATTACCTTTTAGCCCATAGACCTTGCATTTTGATTCAAACAAGCTCCGTATAAATCTGACATTTTTTGGCCTTCAACTATACTTGTTTCAAAAAATTTAACCAACCGCCCGTTCCGTCCGTTATCCCATAAGAAATTAGTAAATTACTAAAAATTAGAAAAACTAAATATTATTGAAAAATATTTCCCAAATAAACCCTTATCTCCAAGGCCCAAACCCAACCATTACTCCTTCTATTCTCGTTCTCTCTTCCCCAAATTCCTTCTCCCAAAATCAGAGCTCTCTGCTCTCCTATAATCCACTGCAAAAGAGCAAGTCAATTCATTATTAACCAAAATTCAGAAGGCCTCGCCTTGTTCCCTCAATTTGAAAAACCCTAGTCACTTAAACAGGTGATGTTAATCTGCGAGCTTGCATCAGCGACCGCCAGAAAATCTGGCAATTCGGGGGTAGAAATAGAGTTGGATGGCCACTGATGGCTAGAGCGGCGAGGATGACGACAACCGGTGAGTTAGCAAAGGGCGAGATCTACGCCAGATGCTGGTGAACTGAGAGAAGGACGGCGGTGATGGTTAGATTCGGCGACGATGGGAAGAGATAGCGGTGGCATCTGGTGATTTCAAAGTGGCTTTCCCCGGCCGATTTCATCAGAGAAGGATGGTCGTCAGAAAGTCGCGCTTTCATTTCAGAGAATCCGCGCTCTCATAATAAGTAATTCGCGATTTTTGGGTGCTCTGCGGAAAAATCGCGTTTTAGCGAATTAGAGCGGGATTGTTGGGGCTGCAGAGGCGAATTGGGTTACCTAAGTTATTCCCCGTTTCCTAGCGGAAAGTGGATACTGCTCATTAATGAGGTCATTTGTTCGATCCCTGCCAGCGACTACTTTTTTTTGCTTATCTCCTCTTTTCCTAAATGCCGCCGTTTTGCCCACTAAAAGTAAAACCCTACAAGCAGCTAAACTCGATCCCTCTCCCGCGCCTGAGAAGAGAAGCAGCAGCGACGACCGCGTCTGCAACGGGAAGCAGCGAAAGGCGAATCCTTCGTCCAGTCGGCGAAATCAAGCAGCAGCGACGCGATTCTCCACCGTCGAAGAGAACCTACAGCCGGTCGCCATCTCCCTCCTCCACCCGACGATTCGTTCGAGCCTCTCCATCGGACGAATCCTCTCCTCCAGCAGCGTCGAAACAGCCGGCCGTCCCGCTCCCCAGCAGCATCGACGATCTCCTCTGCTTGAGGTTAGTCCTCTTCCAACTTTGCCTTGTGTAGGAACAGAACATATTGCCTCCATGAAAGATTTCCTTCTCCACAAAGATTTACTTGCTCCCCTGTTTGGTTCTCTTGAAAGTCTACCCATTTCCATGTTTGATTCATGTGTCTATGATATGATAACTGATTCTGATGTAATTCGCCAAGCTTTGGGCCATCGTTGAAGTTTTTGGTGGTTTAATTAGCTAGCTCGGATGTCAATTATCTCCTCCTGTGCTCGTCAAATTTGCTGAATGTGGTGGTTTAATTAGCTAGCGGTGAAGTGTGTGAAAGACTTGTTAGAACTTGCAATTTGTTTGCCCTTTTGTGAATTGTATGCCCTTTTGTTTGTTTGTAATCTGTTTGGCAATTGATGAAGTGTGTGATCTGAGGTTGTTTCTTGTTTGTTCCTTACTTGTATAATTAGTTGAGTAGTTACAAATCCACTTAGAGCAATAACTGTCGATTTGAGGACTAAGATCTGACTACTGATGAGCAACTGAAAGTAGGTGGTGATTTTGGCACTTAGAGCAGTTTCTGTGACTAATGGGAAGGGTGATTGGTGTATCTGGAGTCCTTTTTTGGGCGGTGGGTTTGGTTGGGATATGTAGATGGCTTTGTTGTTTGAATTGTAGTTTGATAAGCAATGGATGGTAATGAGGTGGAAAACAATACTTCAATTACGATACTTTATTTGAAGAGTATCGAGATTATTGCATGAAAGAGAATGTCAATGAAGTGCAATGAGGGCAATAAAGGAACTTATTCGACCTATGATGTTATACCTGTATTGTGTTTATTAGTATTTTGAAAACAATGTCATTCATATTAAAAATTATAATTATGATTAGAATGGTATGATACTCAATGAAAAAATTGTGATAATCAATTACCAGAAAACAGTAGGAAGTAATTAAACAAGTTTTTATTTTCAGAATTCAGTTTCAGAACTCACCAAAATTCTCAGCTAAACACGTTTTCTGCAGGTTTTGTTTTGCAGAAAATGACAATTTCGTTTTCATTTTATATTATTTTCTGTTGTGGCATATATAAAAAATGGAATGGCAAGTGAACGGGCCATTAATGAATCCTACATTGGGAACTAAGACAATTTCATTTTATATTATCTTACTTACCATGAATGAAACCTACAGTATTTGTGATTAAATTTTGGACTGAAGAACACGAGATTTTGAACCACAACAGCACCTACATTAGGAACTAACACAATTTCGAGGAAGTGTAATTCAAGAATCAGAATCAGAATCAGTATCTGTCTTAGCATCTGCTTCAAAAAATGGTGGCTGGATCCTGTTCGTGTTAGCTTCTAAATGCGGGAGGTCGTCGTACTCTTCTTCATCACAGGAATTAAGCTCGTCTACTTCGTGGCTTGGGACTTTCGCATTAGAGCTTCTACCATTTGTATAGTCCACAGTTGTAGACTTGAAAATTTCTGGCCTGAATCAAGAAAACAAAAAAATAGTAATAAGAGAACACAAATAAAAGCAGATGAATCATATGCTTATGTAAGCTTTGTACCAAAGGTTTGTTGGGGAAGAAAGAACACAAACCATTGAGGAGATTTCTGCAGTGTACGGAGTTGTTCGTGGAAGAGAACCTGGGAAACAATGCAGGTCACTTTGCTGCCTGACTCCATCGCCTTTTCCTTCGCACTGTCGTCCACTATGACAAAGCTCCCTGCCAATCAACAACGTAATCTTTTAAACAGCAAATCACTTCTTCTGTGATCAAATGCGGTATGGCAAATTTAAAGACGATCCCACTATAAGAGCAGAACGATCCAATTCAATCACAGAAATATGAGTTGGATTCTGCTGTTCTTGATCCACATGCTCTTCTGAAACTTAGCTGGAAACAAAGCCAAGGACTTCTTCCCATTTGTGCCCACTACCTGATACAAGAGATATATATCTTAAACATTCCATTTAGCAGATAGATAAATAACCTACAACCCCCGCCTTAATCAAATCACCGGGGATTCAGACCTTTTTCCTGCAAACCAGAAAAGGGCACCTCACCTCGATAAGGTTGGAACCTCGAAGAGATAAAACCTGCATTATGCTTTGCCCACCTTGAAGTGTGAAGTCATGTTCCTTTGCTGCTGCCCTCTTCAAATTCTTCCTTCCTCCCTTCATCTTTCCTTCACCAAGCTCACCAACTGTATTCAACATACCCTCAATCAAATTTAGGATCTTTCCATTCAATGATAGTTAGAAAAAAGTATTACAACTTCAACGCCTACAACGTAACCTAAGATGATTCGACAAATAGCATCAAGTGCTTGCCCTTAAGTTAAACTTCAAGTTGTCTACTAAACTTGACTTTTCAGTGCATACAAGCAAAGCACTGGAACTTCCTATCGCTGGCTGCACCAATATTCCAAAGCTTTTACTAGAAGGTACATGCTGAACTCAGAAAAGGATCAAGCACTAACTTTTCTGGTGTTGTACTACTCGCATCACTTCCTGGTTGTGTCCCTTCTTTTCCAAATTCCAAAGGATCAGAACAATTTGTATTCGCCAATTCTAGTTCAACATTAGTTACTATCTAGCCTCATAAGTTTATTATATCCAAATTATAGCCCTGCTGCTAAGCCATAACACATTGGGCTGACAAGAAGTAGGGAGATAAAAAGATATTGTATTCTTCAGCAAAAAGAGCTTTTATGCCATAGCTAAGGACTGCAAAAGGACGAGAATGTGAAGCAACAACGATCTCTTGTTCTCCTTAAACCCCAAAGGGGCAGGACAAAAGAAAGGCAGAGACCGTTAGGGCGAAATGGACGTTTAATTAACTACATTGCTATTCGAAGGTTCAAAAGATTGTTACTTTACGATGATGAAGCCATGGGAGGACAGGGAAAAAGTGAAAAGACATCAAATTTGCACTGCCGGAATTAGAACTTGTTATCACGTACCTGGTAGCTGAATAAAAGGCAGAGAAAACCCAAGCAAGAAACTGGAGTAACAGGAGCGACTGTGATCTGGGCAGGGAAACAGCAGCAGCAGAGAGGAGAGCAGTTGGGGAAGAAAGAAGAGAAATTAGTATAGTTTGTTATTAGGGTAAATAATAAATATATTCGTCCTCTGTTTCGGATTTCTCTGCCAAAACACAAAGCAGTCCACGAAGTTCTAAAAACAGATAAATAAATCGGCCGAGGCTGAATTACACTTAAGCCCTGTAATCTACTACCCGCGGCACGAACGAATATTGAAAGCGCGGCGGACGGCGGTTGGCTTGCTGGTTCAACTGGGTTTTCCTCGTCGAGCTCGAGTTCAACAGCCAAAAAGAGGTCTCAAGATATTGGGAAGTTTGGAGGTCACTTTGAGCAGAGGATCAAAAGGGTTTTGAGGTAATTTGCTCGATCCAATCCGAAACTCCAAACTTCAATTAAATTAAGGGGTCGTGTTGGGACCTATTCTCCTAAGTTGGGCGCGTGACAAATTATCCCATTGCACTTCTCTGCAGGTTTTGCCTGCCCTGCCCCCATGCTGCACTCCATTAACATAGCATAAGAGGCAGTTTGCCATCTCCAGGTCCCTCTATTTTCTTTTGCAGTACAATTCTACTTCTTCTTCCCTCCAAATTCCTTGCCGATTCGGGTTCTTCGTACCGCTTGCCCCTTCAATGGAGAAAGAAACCACTTGAAGAATTGACATTCGTGGATTGAATGCCTTCACAACAGAATTTCAAGCAGTATGCTCCTTTTGTTAAATTCTTCTTAGCCACTCTACCTCCATGAATTTCCTAGCTGGGTTGCACCAATTTCGTTAAAGTTAGGTTCTTTGCTATACTTGATAGTGGAGTGTTGCCTGGATTGAGTGGGTTGTTTATTTGATTCCTGCTGATGTTAGTTCTGCATTGTTTCTTTTGAATGTTGTAGCTACTTAGCATAGTCATGGGTAGAAGGAAGCAATCCCGGCCTCATCGGTCTGGTGGTTTGGTTATAGAACCTAGTAAGACTGCTGCGTCCGGATCAGGATTAGGTGAAGGAAAGTCCATTGAAGCTGATGCCACCGAACTGGAGCAAGGTCTTCCATTAGATAAGCCCTATTATGTTGAAGTGGATAAGAGTGACTGGATTTCGGTCGAGCACCTTGATCTCTCTGAAGTTGTTCTAAGTAATTTGTCTCTAAGTCAAGAGTATCCTACTTTTGTTATAGATCAAGACTTTTACCAGGAGTTGAAGTACTCCTTCAGAATATGCGTTGGCAATGTTGATGATAGCGACCTTAGTCGTATTAAGTTAGGTCATTGGCCTGTGATATCTTCTGATGAAGTGAGGTTGGAGATTGTCGAGAAAAGTATTGCTGAGGACGGAGATAATGAATCTCTAGTCTTATCAGGGCGTTTTGATGGTCCAGATGAAGGTGTATCTGGTCTTGTTCACTTAATAAGTGTGAAGTTCTTGACACTGAGGCCAGTTCTAGGATCTAAATGTTCAGAGGAGACGAGGACCATAAGGATCAGAGTTGAAATGGTGAAGGACGCTTTTGATGCTTGTGAATCACTTCTGGAATATAACAGGCAGGTCTGGAAGAAGAGTATGATGAACGTGATGGGTTGGCTGAGACCAGAAGTGATGACTTCTGAGGCTAGATATGGAGTGACTGAATCCATGGAAGTGGACGTCAATAGAATCATGGAGATTGAACATGACTGTAATACCTCCAGGAAGCGTGCAAGGTTTGATGTTGCAGGATTTTATGAAGCCATTAAGCCATCCAAGTAAGTGCTGTTTTGGTCTGAACTATTGATCATCACCTTAATGCTAATTTCAGGCTAAAAGAAGTTATTTTACTTGCTTTATGTTGCTAAATTTAAAGCACAACTTGTCACGGTTTATCTGCATAGGTTGGAAAAGATGCTAGAAGATGAATTGCCCGACTTGCTTCCAGTACTTAGACCCTACCAGCGGCGTGCAGCATTCTGGATGGTGCACAGAGAGAAAGGTGATGGTGAAGAGGAAAGAAGTAAATCTTTTTCTCCACTGAGTTTGCCAGTGAATTTTCTTGACACATGCACAAGAATGTTCTACAATCCATTCAGGTGCAACTTTTGTTTTTTTCCCCCAGCTGAACATAATGTGGAAAGTTCTAAGGTTCTATTCACACTCTTCCTCTTGACACTTTTATGCGCTCTGCAGTGGCAATATTGCACGTCAACCAGAATATTCCTCACCACCAATCTTGGGTGGAATTCTTGCTGGTAAATCCACTTTACTTACTGTCTCATAATCATATCGTATGGCTACTTCAGCTCTTGGAGATGATGATCAGGATAGTTCATCTAAAGCTAGGTTGCCTTCAATTATTTTTTTATCAGCATGCAAATAACTGAAGTTTTGTCTGCGACCCTTATTAAAAAAAGCAGAGGTTTTGTCTGTTTCCATTTTAAGTTGGATATATTGTCCTTCCTCTTTCATAGAATTTTGAACGAATTTGGAATTTTTTATACATAATTAACTAGACTGATGCACCCTTGACATTGAAAAGGATGGAGAGAAACATGCAGGAAGCATGTATCTTCTTTGCACGTGTGGATGATCGGTAAATGATTATGATCCTTTTGACTTCTGCAGATGAGATGGGTTTGGGGAAAACTGTGGAATTGCTTGCTTGTGTATTTGCTCATCGTCGAACTGAATATGATGAGGATAATATGATTGATATTGAACAAACATATGCTGAGAATGAAAAGGTTCTTAAAAGATTGAAAAGAGAGCGAGTGGAGTGCATTTGTGGAGCCGTAACTGAAAGTTACAAGTACACGGGACTTTGGGTACAATGTGACATATGTGATGCTTGGCAACATGCAGACTGTGTTGGTTACTCACCAAAAGGAAAACGAAAGAGGTCAACTAGTGTTTTACAAAAGCACAGAAAGAAGACCACAATCAGCTTTGTCGAAAGAGATGGTCAACATATTTGTCAGATGTGTTCGGAACTAGTACAAGCTACTGACTCTCCCGTTGCTACTGGCGCCACTCTTATTATTTGTCCGGCTCCTATACTGCCTCAGTGGCATGCAGAAATTATCCGGTACAACATCTTATATGGGTTTGTTGGTCTCTTACTTTTCAGGATGTTCAATATATGTTGTTCCCATTAGGAGACCTTGGTCATGGACAGTAGTCAAAGAAATTTTGTATGTGGATTCGTTGAGAAGGTTAAAAAATAAAAATCTGCAATGATCGTGTACGGACTTCAAGTAGAATTCTTCGTTAGGACATGTGTGTGAAAGAGCCATGTGATGCTCACTCACGTACCGTGGTGATTTTACTAAAAGTAATTGAATATTATATGTAAATGATGTGTTGAAAGCGTTCATAGAATTCACTTGCCATTCTCTTTCAGCATACTGTGGCCATTAGCCTGGCTAAAACATCAGCGGCCTCCAATGTAGGAATCCTTTCCAAAGACACTTTCGTGATTTCATCATATGGTCGTAGATTAATCTTTCAGTTTGCTATGGATCTTTTGTTTGTTGGGATAGCATTTAAAGTTTTTGCCTGCCTTGTGTAGAAAAGCTCAACATGCTTGCTGTTGCACTTCTTTCCCTTGATCAGGCATACACGTCCAGGCTCCCTAAACGTTTGTGTCTATGAGGGTGTACGAGAGTCATCTCTTTTGAATACATCGGCAATTGGTATTGAAGAACTCGTCTGTGCAGACATTGTGCTAACCACATATGATGTGCTTAGAGAGGACTTGTCACATGACTCTGATCGGCACGAAGGTGATCGACACTTCTTGAGATTCCAGAAGAGGTTCTTACAATCCTTGTGATTTGTTGCTTTCAGTCTGAGATGTTGGTTTTACCTTTTCCCCCCTTTTTCTTTTCATGCATTCTGGATTTTCCCTTTATATTCAATGATGTAAAGGGTGATGAATGACGATTAATTCTTACATTGAGAGGCTCATGCGTGCATGCTTTCTGCCAACTGATGATATTCAGCAGTGTCTCGAGTTTTTTGTGATACTTGCCTTTTTCAATGTACATCCACTCCTCAACTGAGTAAAGTTTAAGAAGATGTGGGGCAAGTTATTGTTGCAGTTACTTTGAACTTAATGCTTCAAGATGTTGGTTTTTCTAGGTACCCTGTTACTCCAACTCTTCTTACCAGAATATTTTGGTGGAGGCTTTGCTTGGACGAGGCACAAATGGTGGAGAGTAATGCTGCAGGTGCCACAGAGATGGCCCTTCGGCTGTCTGCTAAGCATCGTTGGTGCATCACAGGGACACCTATTCAGCGCAAACTTGATGACTTACATGGACTTCTAAGGTTCCTTAAAGCAAGACCCTTTGATGTCTCAAGGTGGTGGGTTGATGTCATGAGAGACCCATATGAGGTATGAGAGCTTTAATGATGCACACATCTCGCAGGTTGTTTTGTTGGAGTGCTAGCGAACATGGGTATTCCTCTCTAATCTTAGTTACGCAGTAACTTCTTAAAACATAGAGTGGAAACATGAACGTTTCTCAGGGTGAGATGAGAAGAGGAAGAATAATGCTTAAGTTTCATCTTGTTTAATCACAATATAATAAAGCATTTCTTTAAATACAATACTGTGGACTTCATGTAGTTCCACTTTAGACCACCTTTGGTTTAATCCCAATTCATCTTGACTATGCATGTTAGCAGAGGCAAGACAAAGGGGCTATGGAGTTTACACACAACTTCTTTAAACAAATAATGTGGCGATCTTCCAAAGCACATGTAGCAGATGAGTTGCAACTTCCGCCTCAGGAAGAGTGCCTATCTTGGCTTTCTCTTTCAGCGATTGAGGAACATTTTTACCAGAGACAGCATGAAACATGCGTGAGTTATGCCCGTGAAGTTATAGATAGTTTGAAAGCTGACATTGTCAAAAGCGATGCTTCTGGTTAGTAGCTATTTATCTGAACCTTCATTTACAACTCACGTTCTAGACAAGGTTACTTAGGTTGCTAAGTTGCTTCTGCTTCCTTATGTTCATGCAGATGGCATATCTTCTAACAGTTTGACCAATCCATTCATCACCCACACGGAAGCTGCAAAGTTACTAAATTCTCTCTTGAAACTTCGTCAAGCTTGCTGCCACCCTCAAGTTGGAAGTTCTGGATTACGTTCCCTACAACAAACTCCCATGACAATGGAGGAAATATTACTGGTTTGGTCACTGTTACAACATACTGTGTCCAATATTCTTTGGAGCTTCTGCTATTTGTAGCTTATGTATGTAAAAATTTGCAGGTTCTTGTGAGTAAGACCAAGATAGAAGGGGAGGAAGCTCTCAGGAAGTTAGTAGTTGCTTTAAATGCCCTTGCAGGGATAGCTATTATCAATCAAAATTTTGGTGAAGCTGTAAAGTTGTACCAAGAAGCATTGGCTCTTACTGATGAACATTCTGAAGATTTTCGTGTGGACCCGTTATTGAACATTCACATTCATCACAATTTGGCTGAGGTGCTTGTAAAGGAACCCGGACTCTCTTCAGAGAACTGTTCTCATGGAGACCAGCTTAAATGCTCTGAGAATGTCTTCAAGGTTCAAGATATTGGAAAATGCGATCTGAGTTCTGTTGAGAAGAAAAATATTGGAGTAGATTCTGAGATCGCCCATGCTTCGAATTTATTTGAGCCGTCAAAGAATTGCTTAAATTCTGACCAAGAAAGTGAGAACAAATGCTTCATGGCCTCTAGATCCTTCAGTGATAAATCTCTGAGAATAACATGCGAGAGTTTGAAAAAGAAGTATCTGTCTGTGTTTAGTTCAAAGCTCTGTGTGACTCAGCAAGACTTCCGAAAATTATACATGCAGGTATTTCATCCACCTAATTTTGCTATCCTGCAAATCTGTAGCATTCATAGGATTGCATAGCATCAATTTCCTCCAGGTTTTTTCGTTTCATTCAATCATGGTAGTTTTTGCTGGTTGTTTTCTCTACCATACTGCTTCATGAAAAACCTTTATGCTTAACCCTAAGGGGTTGGTCTGTGGTAATGTGGTGGTGATAATCACCCTCTACTCTGACTACACTATAGTTCGAACCTTGGGGCAACAATCACTCTCCAGTCTGCTTATTTGTTTATTCCAGTTGGTGTATGCATGTTATTGGATCAGCTCATGGCTATTTTCAGTTTTCTACACTCAAAACATGTCATATGCCTTTACATTTTAACCTTCAGCTTACTGTGGGTTGATTTTATGTGTCTGGTAGTTTTGTCTGAACTGAATTCGGAATGCTTATCTAAAGGTTGCTAACGAGTTCGGCGATTCAAAAGATGAACATTCATTCTGGTGGTTGGATGCTCTTGATCATTCTGGGCAGAACGAGGGCATATCAAATGAACTACTAAAAAAGATTGAAGAGGCCATCTCAGGAAGTCGAAAAAACTCAAGGTCCACAAGAGTTGCATCCCGGTAAGTAGCTAGTTCCTCTGGACTGCTGCCATTACAAATTTTCTGCTGAATAAGGCATCCTACTCCTAGGGTAATAGTTTTTAGCTCAAAGGGCAACAGTGTAGATAAACTCATCACCAAATTCAAGAATATTGGTGCAGATGCTTAATGATAAGGACAAAAGACAAGTATTGAACCATGTTTCTATAGCATGTAGAATGCAATATGTGTATTTTTCGTTGAAAATTGGATATTTTTGTATTAAGGGGTAACATATCAAGCAGCTTAAGGAACCATTACTAGGAAGATGCAGTTCTGCTTATTGGTCAATTTTCAGTCATAAAAGGAGGTATTGGTCGATGTTTATTTTGGGATTTATGTGAAGTGGTATTGCTCTAGTTTTAGGTTCTGATCTCCTTACTGTTCTTACTCATATGATACAAATCATCTTCTCGAGTATTCAAATATTATCAGTTAAAAAATTAATGTTGTTTCTATGCTATTTCATCCAGTTTCCGAAGTATTACTGCCCTAAAGTACCACATCCAGACTCGCCTCGACCAAGTAGAAACTTCCAGAAAAGTTTTGGTTGATCGAATATTGGAAATTGATAAATCAATGGAAAACCCCAAAGAAGATGATATTGAAAGTGTTAGATATTGCCGTGTTTGCCAAGGCGTTGATGATGGCCCCACATGTGTTCATTGTGAACTGGAAGAATTGTTCAAGGTTTGTATATGCATATGTACTATGTTCCCTAATGTATTGAAGAACCAAAAAAGCTCAAATCCGTTTTTATCTTTTGCAAAATCTTTCTTCAGGATTATGAAGCAAGGCTATTTCGCCTCAACAAAGCAGATGGAGAGATAATTTCTTCTGCTGAAGAAGCAGTGGATTTACAAAAAAGAAACACTGAACTGAATCGTTTCTATTGGAATTTATCACGCCAAGAAAAGAACTCATTTGTAGCTGGTGACGTAAATGAAGAATCAAGGAAGAGAGATGTTGGGGAAAGAGTAGTGGTAAGCTTTTCCTAACTGATCCAATTAACTACGAGAGGGGTAAAGGAGCATTAGCTTCCGTGAATCCTCATTTTCATATCTCTATCCATAGGATTCTTTTTATATGTCCAGTTCTGTATTTGATTTATCAGTTCATGCAAAAAAAACGGAAAGTTTCCTTACATTTTTGGTAGTTTGGTTTCGTGAAGGAAGTAACTGTTGTAAAAGATGCTTAAACGAATATTATTTGGTTTGTAATAGCTGCTAATTACATTGGAATTGCTAGGTTTCAAAAATGCCCTCGGAACTCGAGGTTGTACTTGGAGTCGTAAAAAGCTATTGCAAGGCTCACTTAAGCAAGGAACACTTATCTGCAGCCAACAAGCAGCTTCATTTACTGGAGGTACAATCTGGCGAACTCCCTTTTTGTTATTTTTTATACTGTTCGAATGTTTCGCCTTACTAGCCACTGAGTTGGATGGTTCGACCTTTGCTCTTGCCAAAATTAATAGGGCATGAGGAAGGAGTATGGTTCTGCAAGGTCGTTGGCGGTTGCTCAAGCTCAGTTTCTGCGTGCTCATGATGAAATTAGGATGGCAACATCAAGACTGCATCTAAGAGAGGACGAGAATGATAAGTCTCTAGATGCATTAGGTCCGGAGGAACTAGAGACAGCTAGCGTCCTACAATCTAGTGACAAGTTCGTGGCTCTGAATTTATTGTCACGTATTAAAGGAAAGCTTCGGTACTTGAAGGTATGTTCATACGCTCCACCATTGTTGATAAACAAAATCGGTGTCTTGATGTGAAGAAACTTTAGTATATGTGAAAAAAGTTTTAAGTATTTGTTATGGAAGGTTCATTAGTTGCTAAAATGCAAGAATGTGACTTTAAGTTATTGTAATATGAGTGCAGTCCACATGCATTTGGGTCCAACCCAATACCAAAATACATCCATAGGTGGCCTATTTTTTCAACCTCTTATTCAGCTGTTTCTAGAAGCGAATTGGTTCATTCTTTTTCCTTTACTGATCTTTGGTACCTGAAATTTCTTTCAGGGTTTAGTACAATCAAAACAGAAAGTTTCTTCTGAAAGTTCAAACACCCCCTTGTCAGCTACAACCTCAGCATCTGTGTCTACAGAGAGGGCAGGCGATGGTCTGACTAAAGATGATGAAGAAGCATGCCCTATCTGCCACGAGAAGCTAAACGATAAGAAGATGGTCTTCCAATGTGGACACTTGACTTGCTGCAAATGTAGGTTCTGCTTCAGCTATATAATCAGTATACTACATGTTTTAGGACATTAAGATCTAAGAATAACTGTTCTACGCATGCAGGTTTATTCGAGATGACAGATTCAAAACCGCAGCAGGATCATAACAAGTCCCAGCAGCAGCCGAAATGGGTGATGTGCCCAACGTGTCGACAGCGTACAGATTATGGGAACATCGCTTATGTTGATGACAGACAAGAGAAATCTTCCGGTTCAGCTAATCCACCAACATCACAAGATTGTGAAAAGGGTGAAGCATCCTTGGCTGTCCAAGGTTCATATGGTACTAAGGTATGTATTTATCTTCCCATGCCACATATTACTCAGTCATGTGAAAAAAGAGAACAAAAGAATGATTTACCCTAAATCACAAATCCGACAACTTCTGCTGATAATATTATTTGCGGATGTGAAGCTTGAAGCAGTGACGCGAAGAGTGCTGTGGATCAAGTTTTCAGAACCCGATTCCAAAGTTCTTGTCTTTTCAAGCTGGAATGATGTCCTGGATGTGTTAGAACATGCTTTCAAGGCAAATGGGATAACGTATATTCGCATGAAAGGAGGCAGGTTAGTTACAGCAAACTTTTGGACTTCTCAGATATACATTGGTTCTCAACAACCAGTCATAGCTAACCATGATGGGGTAAATGCAGGAAATCACATGCTGCCATTAGTGAGTTCCGAGGGCAGCACAAGAAAAACCAGGAATCTACTGACGAACAGCAAGAACCCAAATCAATCCAAGTCCTACTCCTGCTGATTCAGCACGGAGCAAACGGACTCAATCTGTTGGAAGCACAGCACGTCGTGCTCGTAGAGCCACTGCTGAACCCAGCAGCAGAGGCACAAGCAATCAGCAGGGTGCACAGAATAGGACAGGAGAAGCGCACTCTCGTCCATCGCTTCATAGTTAAAAACACCGTGGAAGAGAGCATCCACAAGCTGAACAGAAGCAGGAACACGACGACGACTTCGTTCATAAGTGGGAACACCAAGAACCAGGATCAGCCTATTCTAACGCTTAAAGATGTGGAATGTCTGTTTGCTTCTTCAACGCCAGCTGCAGAAGATGGTGAGAAGAAAACAGAAGAAGAAAAGGAGGCCAGTGAGAGTACTTCTAGCCTAAGGCAGCTGCCCCCAGCCGTGGCAGCTGCCATAGCTGCTGAGAGGAGACTAATGCAGAACAGACTTCCAGCCTCATCTTCAGCTTTGTAGCATCCGTTTGATGTAGTTTAGAGGACCATAATTAAACAAAATCTGTACATCTAGGGAAATAGAATCTTTCTTAAATACATGACATTCAAGTAATGCAAACTTCAAGTTCTTATAGATGACTTCCGATTGAAAAAAATGTGAGTATGTAATAAAAGATACATTATTTAACTTTTATCAACAACTCAAATTATCGGATTATACACGTTTATAACAGCGCATCCAGAAAGCCCAGAATCAAATCCAGCAAGCCTGGTTCAACTTTTCAGCCGTGTCTGGAACTCTCTCCTTCCTGGACCTGCCACGTGTCTGTCTCCACAGCCTCATCAGCTGCCACGTTTCGAGAAACGTGCCGCTAGCTGGCCTCTCTAACCTTCGATACCAGTATATGTACTATCCATTACCCCATTCAATCCAACCACGCCACAATCACCATGAGAACATTCAGCTGCAACATTACTCCTTATCCCACACCCACCTCTTTTTCTCCTTGTTCTCTTCCAAGAACCAAACTTCATCCACCACCATCGCAGCCATTGATCCCCATGAGAAGAAAAAACCAGTGCTCATTTGGGTTGGTGGCGAAGTGTGCCAAGTTGAATCACCGACCTCAACAAGAAGCAGGAGAAGGAGAAGAAGAAGAATGGATCGATGTCGAATTCGGGAAGCTTGTGCAGGAGAAATGCAGAGAAAGGAAAGGAGTTGTGGAGCTGTTGGAGTGCCTTGAGGCTGAAGCAATCATGGGAGATGATCAGGGGAAGAACCCTACTGATTACAATCGCAGAGCCCAGATCTTTGATACAAGCTCCAGAGTTTTCCAGGCTCTCAAGCAACAAGATACCACCACTACAGCTCCACCTCAATCTCAAGGCTGAATAACTTCGATTCTCGCGAATTCGTCCGATGATTCGGATCGTTGGATGTTTCTCGTCTTTGGATGATGTAGTGACATTGTTGTAAATTAGTATATCCGTCTTCTACTAGCAAAAACAAGTTGTTGCAACTTTATTTGTCTTCTGATATGTAATGTTAATGTGACGAGGAAAAAAACAGCAGCAAAATTCTGATTCAAGAATCTTGGGACATACATTAGAGATAAAACATACAAATGAAAACAAACATTTTCCCCAAAGGGGGATAAAAATCAAGATAGTCAACAGAAAGTTCAGCTAAGCCTACCAAGCAACAAATCAAACTCCTTACCCTAACCTACTCCCCAAGTCAATAATTCAACTGAAGAAAGATTGACACTAACCAGCTACAAGCTAATTTAACAGAACTTCCAACGGTTGTCGCAGTTGACACAGGTGACGTAAGTAGTCATGGGCTCATCAGCACTCCTGGTCTGCATCTGGTGGTACTTACACTTCCTCTGCCCGCACTTGCCGCACTTGAACTGATCCGTCGTGGCCATAGGTGCGCTCCCTAGCTCGCAATCGAACAAAGCCTTCGCCTCGATCTTCTCGTTCTCCTTCTGCCTGGCGTCGCTTGCCATCTCCGCGGAACTCAAGCTCACCACTTGCTCTGGCGTCCACTGTCCCAGCAGCACCTTCCTCCTGAAATCGGGGTTCTTTGCGTCCTTGATGTTGAACATGAGCGACCTGTACTTCGCCCTCTGGTCTCCGGTGGAACCCCCCCACGAGGCAAACATAACCGACTCCAGTGATACAGCGACAGAGACCGGGTCACAGGCATTCACCCGGCTGGAGAGCTCAGGGGATACTTCACCGGAAACTCTGCATAGAGCCTCACAGAGTTGCTCCCTGATCTTGTTCCTCGTGGGATCGTTGCATTTGGGAACGGGGAGATGGATGGCGGGAGAGGAAGTGGGAGTAGCGGTCTTGGGTTTAGGGAAGTGGTTTGGCTTCGTTGAAGCAGCAGCAGCAGTGGTGGTTTTGGGTTTAGGTGAGGGGGTTGGCTTTGTCGAAGCAGCGGGATTGTTACTGGGAGTCTTTCTGTCTGGCGTGTGTGGCTTCATAGGCGGGGTCGCAATGTGAAGCTTGTCCGAGTCAGAAGGCTTGGTGACTTTCTTGTGATCTGCAGCAGCGGCATTGGAGGTGTTGGTTTGCTCGAGGAACATGGCTTTCCATGTTTGGAAGATGTCGGAGGCGAGTTGCTGGATGTTCTTGCTGGCGTGTTTCGTAAGAGGTCGAAGCTGCTTCCCTACCTGAGACAAAAGGATACTTGTTAAGAGTTCCGAACCATAACTGGTGAATGTGTGTAGTAACAAACCCTACTGCTGTGGACAGTAAGGGAACCATAAGTGTACAGTGGACAAGGCAAGATCTACTCCCTCTGTTTCAGAGGGTAGGTTGTGCTTTCCAACATATTATGAGCAAAACTTAGAAGCTAATATGAGGTGTGTCTGCTTTGGCATTTATTCTGAAAGAGCACCAACATGATGCACAGCACTATCTAGTGTCTGATTCATATGTTCCGAGCAATGTACTCGTACGCACTCAATCGTCACATGAATGGTTGAGTACGCATGAGTACATTGGTCGAAACATGACGGTAATGATCAATAAATGCAACATTAAGAACATGGTGTTTTGAAAAATTCGACATATGATCCAAAACATATAACTAAGCTAAGCAAATCGATGCATTAAAGGTTGCATTCCAACACAAGTTGCCATAACAAGAAACCAGCTCCCATAACGATTCGAGACGCGCGCGCGAATCTGGGACGCCGCAGTGTTTTCCCAAAACACCCTTGTGTTGTGCACAAGGAGACATAGATGCATTCTGGAATATGGCTAGGCAGAGGCTATAGGGGGGGTGATATGCTCCTTTAACAGAGTCAAATCACTGCATCAAAACATTGCCTCTTTCAACAATGACCAATCAATGGCATTGACAAGTAAAAGAAAACAGAGGCACATTACTACCATTCATACTCATGTTCATAACTCGTTAACAGGGGGACTGCACCTGAAAAACACACACAGCGAATTGTTCTTTGTACAGGCGACATAAATTCCTTTGCTTTTTTAGGTAACAGATCTTGAAAGGTATCACCTTTTTCTAGTTTCAATGAAGCACGAGAAGGTATTACCGCACATTGTACAGGCAGGAAAGAAGAGACCTAGGGGGGAAAAAAACTAGGGACAAGAGAAACTTAAACGGCAACGAAGAGATTCTGTGAGCAGGGGGAGTGGACATTAATTACCTGGGTGGAGACGAGGGCTTGAACGGTGACGGGGAAGTCCTTGAGGCGAGACAAAGCGTCGACGCACCTGGATTCGTCAGCACCACCGGCGGCGTCGGCGGCGGCGGCGTCGGCTGCTTTCTTTGCTGCATGTAAGAGCTCCAGCAGCTGTTTCTCCTTCTCTTTCGCGGTCGCCATCGCTACTACTCCACGCCCAACTCAATCCCTGAAAAAAGAAGCGGAAGAAAAAAAAAAACAAATTCAGGTAGGTGAATAAAAAAAGGGCAGAGAGGGTTGAGTCCGTGCATGGAATGGAAATGGAAGTCCGAGTTAGAAACGGAAAATGAGAGAGAGGATGAGCGGAATTAATGGCGGTGGTGCGGGGGGAGGAAGAACTCACAGAGACGGTGGCTGTTGTTGTCGGCGGCGGTGTGAAGAGCAAAAGAGAAGAGAAGGGTTTGTTTGTTTGGATAGTGAGAAGAACGGAAACCGAAAAGAAGGAAAAAACAGAGGAGAAAGATGAGAGATGCAGAGCACCACGTGTAACAGAGTCGGAGAAAGCGCACTTTGGAATGGAGCTCGCTCTGTGTTTGGGTTTTTGGCATTCAACGCTTTGCGGCATTTGTGAGTGACTTTAATAACTTACCATCTCTCAATCGCGAGGATTATCCTCTTCTTCTCTCCGTGTGACTCTTCCTCGTTTGCCTATTTGCTATTGCTGGCTTAGCTTCCTCCTCCCCCAATATTTTCCCTCTTTTTCTTCTCTTTTCTTTCTCCAAGCTCTTCCCTAAATTTTTTTTCCCCCTTCTAATTTCTCCTCCTTTTCTCCTAGTTCCAGAGATTATTTTTATTTTTCACAAAATGTTATGTTTGCTGGGAAGATGGGATCTTGACTGATTCCAGTTTTAGTTAGTTAGTTAGTTAGTGCAGGGGGTTTGCTGTTGCTATTCAAAAGGCCGTTTTAGTCCCCACCGGGCCACCACAAACAATCTGTCCTTCATTCAGAAATTCCAAATTTGGGCATTTTGCTCTACTTCACCCATTTTTTTTTTTTTTTTTGCCTATATTAGACTATCGGCATGGCATTCCATTAGGATGAAAAGTAATCCCAATAGGTAATATATGTGTCTTTATAGGTGTGCTGTGCAAACTAGACTCCACAAAAGAGAAACTTTCACCAATCATTTTGGTGCCGGCACTAAAATTCTCATGAACTTTTAATGATTGTGAATATGTTTGTAAATGAAACTTATGCGATATGAAAATCAGACAGACAAGAATCTCGTAAGTACAATACAAATTCATAGAAGGAGACAATTAAGATTTAAGGTCGGCTAATGGCCATTACTTTTTTTTATTTTGAATGGAAGAAATCAATAATGAGTTGTTCCCAATTTCCCGTAACTTCTCAATAAATTCATGTCAGGCTCGACAAATGACTCGCCTTTTGGCATTTAATACCCATAACTTCTAATAAGGAAATTAAACGTGTGGTATGTGTTCTAATATAAGAGAATGTACGAACGAGAAAAAAATAAAATAGTTTGTTAGTAACACAAACAAAAAAAATTAACATGTAATGAATATTGAACAAAGTATTTACCAAATATATCGTTATGTTTGCTATTGGGTACACTGGCGACTATTGAAGTTTGCTATAAGAATTGACATTGCTTGTCAATAAAGAAAGTAGGTTTCACAATTTATAGCTAGAACATACATCCTCACATTTCTCAACTAACATAGCATTCATACAAACAACCATGTCACTTCTGTAACGAAGAAGTTCATGGTTTAATGATTTCAGCTTGCAAAACCAACACAAAGTTTCGATCATTCTCATAACATTCCTACATTCCTAACCTCAATATTTGAGCATTATGTTGAAGGCAATTATCGAGCACCACAACTATCCTCATTCTTTAAACACTATGTTGAAGGCAATTAGAAGATCTTGGGATGAACTTCTTTGCCTTAGGCAGCTTGGCTATGACGCTTATGGTATATATCATTAGTAAAGGTGGCAATTAGGATCCAAATCCATGAATCCAATCCAATTCATCCACCAAATTATCCACCTAATCCAATCCATTTAAATCCAATCCATTTGATCCAAATCCAATTGGATTGGTGGATTCATGGATCAATCCATGGATCCAAATGGCAAATTACAATTTGGTACCTATATTTTTTATATTTTACATTTTGGTACCTAAAATTTATATTTTTATACAAAAAAAATATCATTGGAAAACATTTTGGTACCTAAAATTTTTCATTATGACGTTTTAATACCAAAACTTTTCAAATTTTACATTTTGGTCCAACCTTTGGATGTTATTTGGATTCATGGATCAATCCACCAATCCATTGGATCCAATCCATTTGATCCATGGATCCACCAATCCACGAATCCGATCTAATTACCACCTCTAATCATTAGTGATTCACAAGTGCTCTTCCTAGATCCAAGGTGTTTTGAAAAAAAATAAATAAGATTGCAGGAGTGGCAGATTCCCAAAACTCTTTGGGGTTGTTTGGATCAAGGATTGTTTAATAAGGGATTTGGGCCCGAAAACCCGCATCCAGAAACCCAGATATTTCACTTCCCGGATTTTGGCCGAATCATGCGTTTGGTAATTTATGCAGGTTTTCAATTAAAAAGGCAAAAAGACACTTTTGCCTATTTCTTTCTTCTTCGCATTCATTGAAGAAACCCAGAAACGACCAGCGAAACAACACAAGCTTAATTATTTCTTCTTCTGTTAGTTTCTCAGCTGCCAAATAAATTATGCAAGCGACTGTGGCGACGACGATTCCTTTAAGCTGGTGTAAGAAAATCTGGAATGAACCCAGAACTTGAATAAGGGCGACTGTCAACGGATTCTGTTGTTGAGTTCTGATGGGAAATCGGAAGGGATACTTCAGTCCTTCGATCTCTTCTTCTTTCTTCAGAGAACCACAAAATCAAAGCCTCTCTCCCACTGTATCACACCCCCCAAAAACGAATCCACCATACCTGCAAATTTGAGATTTAGAACCCTAGATCTGGAATCGATACGGGGAGTCTTCGTTTGTGGCTCTGTCATTGTTGGTGTCGTAGCCGACAGTTGTCGAGAAGTCATCGCCTGAACTCCTCCTTCGGCTATGGATTGGGCCGACAACAGGCTTGGTCAATTTTGGGGAGAGAGGGCAACGACGGTGAGGTTGGGCCGCCGATAAATATAGGTGAAGAAGAACGAAGTGGTCAAGGATAGAAGGATAAATTTGGAACAGATAAAAAAATAGTGAGGGTTTTCAAAATAGCTGACCCCCATCAGCTATTTTGAAATCCTGCACTTGTGGGTTTCCAAAATCACTCATGAGGAGAATCCCACGTTTTATGGATCCCTTCCCAAACGTAGAATTGTTTAAAATTCTGGACAATGAGGGATTTTAATTAAAAGGGCTAATACCACTACAACACCCGAACTATTCCAAAAATGCCACTTGTGTCCTATTGTTTTCAATATTCCATCTGTGTCCTGAACTATGATTCTGTTATCGTTGACTTTTGTTGACCGTTAAATTTTAACGGAATGACAGATCAGCGCTGATGTGTAAGCGGACGTGGCTCTTTCTAATTGCGACGTGGCTTTTTATTTATTTCATATTTTAAAAAACTAAAATCAAATCAGAAGGTAAATTTGGGTCGGCCATTTCACCCACCACATTTACCTTATCTTACTATCGAAGAGAGAGAATTGAGCAAAGGAGAGGAAGAACCCTAAACAGTCTCCCGACGAAGAAGGCTATCGGCGCTGGTGATTCTCCTCTACTCGAGCATGGGGCCTTCGATTCGGCGCTGGTGAAGGCCCTCAGCAACACGAGAAGCGGGGAAGACGGAAAGCGCGATATCGATTCCTCGAGGGGAGGGCGATTTCTTCAGCCTCCTCTGTCCGACGAAGATCGAGCCCTGTACCACCATCGCCGATTCTTTCTTCTCGACATCTCCTGGAACATTCGCAGCCTTCAAATCGTCCACCACTGAAGGATTCGAGCAGCCATTTGAAGAAGAAGGCGTGGATTTGCGGGATTTGAGTTTCCCCCAAATTTTATAGGGTTTCTCTTCGATGCTTTGTGGTCTCTTTTCTGGAGTGTTGGAAGTATTTGAAGGGTGACTGGGTGGTTGGGAAGCAAAGAAGGTGCCAGAAATAGTACAAAGGAGTAAATGGCGTAGCTGCTTTGCTGGTGTTAAAGCTCGAGATTCTCTGGGAAAAGGTTGAAAAACAAGGACCACGAGGACAGTGTCAAGACTCATTTACCCTTTTGGCAACTTCAGTAACAGGTATGATATGGGTGAAATTAGTACGTATTGGTCATTTACGTTGGTGGTTGAGAAGTCGCTGTCTTGGTTCGGATTATTCAATTGAGATGGGAATCAGTTTTGTGGTCTTCCAGAAGGAAAGTAGTCGAGTCAAATGCTTTGTGGAATGCTTTACGGAATAGATTATTAGGGGTGGTTAAAGTATGCTTAATGTCTCAATTCGATGAATTTAGGCTATTGTTAAATGGGGATTGTTTGGTTTTGCAGGATGTCGACATTGGTGGAGTTGATTGTCAATCATGGTGGGAAAATGGAATATTCTAATGATGGTATTCTGATGATGGTATTCGCTACATAAATGGCAAGTCAGAGGCTTTTGACATGGACATAGATTATGTCTCGTTCTTCCAACTCCAACAAATTGGAACAGTCCACTTCGATTATGCAAGGGTTGAGAGGCTGTGGTACATGGCACCCTCCGACACTTTGGATAATGGTCTAGTTGAAATACGGTTTGATAGTGAGGTGATGGATGGCTTGCTCCCAGCCATAGAAGATGGAAAAATTATGATATTCATGGAAGCAATAGAAACTCAAATCGGGGACAATGAAGAACTTGGAGAAGAGTTATCTGATGATGGTAATTCGGAGGATGAGGATAACTCACAAAACCGAGACATTATCCATCTCATGGATGATGATATCTGTACTTCTGATGATGAGTTCATTGATGCAATGGAGGAGCAAGGAGTCAGACCACGACGAGTTCGTACTCGTGTTGATCAAACTGGGGAGGAGGTAGAGCAAGAGTCATTGTTTGTTGATGGTGACCCACCTGTGGATGAAGGCAGAGTTAATAGTGAGACCATTGCTGCAGATGAGGTTGATAACGAGGACTTGAGGGACAGGGTTGTGGAAGATTCAGCCTACCGGGGTTCAATTGAGTCACGCCACGTGAGGGGGAACATTGATGACAAAGAAAAAGGTAGCCCTCTAGAAAACGGACCTCGATATGACCCTATGTGTGACCATTCAACCCTTAAGTTGGTTGTGGGCATGACATTTGACAACCCCGAGTAGTTCAAGGAGGCCGTTGAAAACCATTGCATTGCCATTGGAGCTTATATGAGATGGACTAGGAGTGACAAGCAAAAGAAGCGTGCTCAATGCCGTAACAACTGCGGGTGGTACGTTTATGGAAGCTGGCATGGACGTTCTTGCTTTATGATCAAGAATGTTGGAAAGGATCACACATGTCCTAGGTCTGTGAGAATGAAGGTTGCAAATGCTGTTTGGGCTGCTAAGAAGTATCTCGATAGATTCAGAAGGGAGCCAAATTGGAAGGTCAAGAACATGATGGTTGAAATAAGGCAAGCACACAACGTTCAGATATCCAGGAGGCAATGCTATAGGGCTCGGATTTATGCGAAGAGGATGTTGGGTGTCTCATTGGTTAAAGAGTACAATAAGGTCAGGTCCTATATGGCAGAAATGAAGAGGAAAGATCATGCTGGAACCTTCATACTTGAGGTTGACCCAAGTTCTATTCCTGAACGTGTGCTTTTCAAGAGGCTGTGATTTAGCAAGGGAGGTTAGGATGGTATGTGAATAATCAGAATGCATTTCGTGTCAATTCTATTTGATGTTTATGTTTTTGTCTGTGATAAATACCTCTAATATGGGAACTTCATACACGAATGTGCAGGCTAACCAAGGGAATGGAGTTCTGCACACTAATTTGGGTAATACCTATGTTATCCTCAATGGTCCCAATGGACATGGCAGAACGCTAAGAAGTGGAAGGATCCTTCAGAATGCAGCTCCTACTGAGATAGATCAAGGTGGATCTCAACCACCTGCCACGCAACCTTCACAATCTCGGCAGTAGTTTAGATAGCAGTAGAATGTGTTTTTGTATAGTAGCCTACCTCTAGCATATCTGTGGTATTCGTTTTAAGATGTGACATTGAAGTTGGATCAACCTTTTGTGGTAGGTTACCTGTAGATCCATGGAAATGGTGTATATTTCCTAAACATTGGATCGAGTTTTTAGGTACCTTAAGGGATGACATTTCAGGTACCTTGGTAATGACATGTTTTTGTGAATGTAAAAGCAGTTGTTTTGTGAATTGATGTTGTCTGCATTTTGGTTACATAAGTATTACACACAAACTGGTATAGCCACTAGATTCATGTTAAAATACAAATAAAGATCCCATTAGATAAGTAACATATTCAAGGTTCGCACAACTGCTTACAACAATAACAGATTAGAACATGCTGGAGGAATTCAAACCTACAATAACTATCCCTATAACTAAGGCTGATAAAACGACCAAAACACACAACAGACGAGTATAGGCCAACCTTAAATCACCAATCAACCTAGCATTCTCTTCTCTAATGCTAGCTAAATCACCATACAACAATTTTAAGGCCTTCTTTCTTCGCACTGCTTTTTCTTCAGCAACCCTTAAACTCTCTTTCAATCTTTCCATCTGAAAGTCTATCAAACCAAGGTTCGACCTGATATGTTCATTCCCTCCAACAACCCCATTGGAGCAAGCACCTTCACTGTCTTCGTTCAGAGTATCAGCCCAAATGAACAAATGACAACTTTCTTCCTCATCCTGCCATGTAGAAAGCAACCCATGTGAGATCATTGCCCATCTCAATAACAATTAAATAACAAACCACTACTTCATTTACCTGCCAATGAGGGCAGCAATAGAACTGCCTCCCCGGATTCAGTTCTGTTCGAGAAGCATTCAGAAAAACTGGTATATTATGCCGGCATTTAACTGTACGTGAGTTTGATGAATTCGATGAAATGCTTTGCGACCCTCTTCTGGACATTTTTGAATTACTGCCACGAAAACAGGACACTAAATCCCCAATTGAAAGAAACCCTAAATTACCAAAATCAACTATTAATGTACCTGATAGATGGTAAGGCTCTTTTCTGGCGGATTGACATTGCAATTTGGGTCTTCACAGTCGAATCACCTCGCCCCAACATAAATACCAACCGCAGCTCCTCGTGGCTCGTCACCGCCACTACCCCGACACCCACTCCGCGCCGACGCAACGCAAGCCCCGCCCTCGCTACTTCTCCATATGCGCCTGCCCAAACACAACAGCCTGTCGTCGTCGTCTTCGAAAGCCACACTCGAGCAAACCAAGTTCGGCACTTTGGCTGGGTAGAGGAGAAGTGGCTGGGTAGAGGAGAAGAAAGGGTAGAAAGATAAGAAATTAGGTCGATGGATGGGAAGAGGGTAGAAATATAGGCTGGCTGGGTAAAAACTTTAATTCCCATTTGTAAAAAAAAAAAAATTAATTCCCATTTGACGTGGCATCAACGTGTCTGCCACGGGTAAAACACGTTGGCAGCAATACGACGTCGTTTTAAAAGCCGTCTGGTCAACCGTTAATACTTAACAGTCAACAGAACCGACAGGACACAAATATCATAGTTCAGGACACAGATGGAATATTGAAAACAATAGGACACAAGTGGCATTTTTGGAATAGTTCGGGTGTTGTAGTGGTATTAGCCCTAATTAAAATCCTGGATCAGAAACCCTCATCCAAACGACCCCTTTATCTTTTCCTCCAAAGGCAGCAGCCTCATGCAAAGCAGGAGAAGTGTCAATCCTCGTCGTCGTTCCAGTTGAATATGAGCTCGGCTTCTTTAGAGACACGCTTATAATGCATCACCTCCTTCATTAGTTTCATGACCTTCTTGGTGTCCAATTTGTAGTAAGCCGTGATGTGAATCGACTGAAGTATCGGGGCAGTGGCTAGTACGAACCTCACGAGGTCCAGCTCAGCCTGACAACCACAAGTATCATCAATTCTGAACTCCCTCAGATGCTTAAGGCAACCAGGGGAGTCCTCTGCTTCCAACAATCTCCTTATGCTGCTAACTTCATCATTAGCAGGCAAATCAGATGGTTCGCCACTCTCCATCTACACGAGCATTTTGTGCAGGAACCAAAGTCAGTCTAGATACCAAAAGTAAGTTTATGCACCTCATAAGTCCTCCTGCAAACAGAAAATTTAGTCTGCAATATGCAACCAACCTGAACTGTGAGGCTACGCAAGTTGGGGGAACTCATGATTAAACACACGAAAACACGCTCCATCTCCAGACCATCAAAGACGATACTGATCGTCTCTAGGACTTTTAACCCCTCGATAGGGGTAGGAAGCCTGGTGGGGAAGTTCCTATCACCTTGAGCAAGGAACTAAGAAAAACCGGACAATGTACATTACATAACTGATAATAGCATTCATGAGTAAAGCAACCCTATGATACAGAATGGGAAATAAGTTGTGATAAGCTAGACCTTACTTTCAGGATGTCATAGTTAACAAGGAGCTGCTGGAGTGCTAGAAGAGAAGCAAATAAAGATACCATATCAGGCGTGTTGCTTTCAGCCAAATCAAGCGAGACATGTGACAGAAGTGGTGCATACTCGAAGCAGACATCCAGGAAAGAGCCCACAAAGGTGAAGTATTTGAGAAATGGAGCCACGATCTCGAGCCTACCGGCAGGGGCACTACATTCTATAGCCCTCAAAGATTCCAGCATCGGGCACTTGGGAAGGAACTCCTTGAAGAAATCAGAGGGCAAAATGACATTTATTAACTGAAGATTGGTAAGCATGTTAAAGCCAGTGAACCAAGTTGGTGGCGTAAACGCACAAGATCGAAGCGTCAAGGACTTCAAGTGAAGCGCAGAAAACAAGGAAGTATGCATGTGATAACCGGCGGTGCCAATGTAACGACAGTAGAACATAAGGGTAAAGTCCTGGACACCATTACTGGAAAGGTGAAGAATGATGTGGTCGATTTCACGGCAGGCGCATAATCCAGGGATCGAAAGCTCGAACTTAGTTATTGGGCCATCGTGAACAAGCAGGGCAGTGCAGATGTTCAGCATTATCCGGTTATTCATCGAGCTCGACTCAACGACATCCTCTTCTAGGTTTCGAGCAAACCCATGATCGAAAACTAGTCGAGGGATGCTTCTCCAGTGATGCCTCCATTTTCTCGACAATGTACTGGCTTTCGCTGCGTCTTTGATGGGTAAGAATGCCAGAATGTGATGTATCACATCGGCGAGAAGGCTGGTGATTCTGTCATCACTGGCCTGGCACACCCGCTTCATCCTGCAGATCAATACACAATATTTCAACCTCGCTATTTTGATAGCCATATCGCATTACACATATAGAAATCGCATAACAAAGTAGGAAATCAATTCGATTGAAGAGAAAGCGGTGGATTACCTGGTTCAGGGTGAGCTACTTCGACTGAAACCTGAAGGGCCCAAACCGAAATCGAAAATCTGGAACACCAGAAACGGGCAAAAGAAAGGACCAAAGTTGCAAGAGGGAAGGGAGAGAGGGGGAGTTGTACAGATATCCAGTCACCAGAGATGGTGAAATTGGCGAAGAACGGAAGAGCGAGCGAGCGCGCGCGCGGGTGGTTCTGCAGGATGCTGGTTTGCCGCGCTAGGGCTTAGGAGTTGGGAGAGACGAGGAAGGGGAAATTATCTGAAAACGGTAGGAGATTTGAAAGAGAGTAAGCTAAAGTGTAAATGGCATTCGGATTTGGCGCTGAAAAGAAAATCAGGCCATGTATTTCCATAAATGCCCTCGTCTTAATTACCTTGCTGATTTTTTTTACATGTTAGTATGTTACTCAAGGGTAGGGGTGGACATTGGCTAGGCGGTTAGGGATAGGCAGTGGCGGATGCAGGGGGTGGCCATCCCGGGCCCCGGCCCAGCCCTCCTCTAGATCCATAGTTAGTATAGGCCTTATGAATTTTTCGATTTTAGATATTCGGGTCGTTGTTATTTTAAAATAAGATTGGGTATAATTAGAAAAATAATTCATATGAACATATTCAAAATCACTACTCTAAATTTAGCTTATAAATTCTAACCCCAAAGGTTATTCGTCTAAAAAAACAATGAAACCTAAAAATTCAAAAAGTATAAAACGTAAAAGACTAAAACATATATGAGGTTTGTTACCTTGGAAAATTTACTAGAGCAGCTGGTGGATATAGGGATGGAAACACAATGCAAATTGATTAGTAGATTGATTTGTCTAGTGTTGATGCTCCTCGTTTCAACAGCTAATACGAATAGAACCTTTTCAACAACGAAACATGTGAAAATTGATTTGCGCAACAAAATGAGCGATGGATTTCTAGTCGATTGCTCAAGTATTTTATTTGAAACAGTGTATACTATTGGTATGGATGTGGACTCCATTATTAATGCATTCGCTAAATTAAAATACCGTCGTGTACAATTTACATTGTAAAAAAATTATAATCATTATATTTTTTTACTATTCTAATTTTCTAATAAAATGCGGCCCAGTGCACTTCTGTGTTCTGAATCCGCCGCTGGGGATAGGTTCAGGTCCTTAAGTCTCAAATCTTAAAAAGTTTCTTTAAGTAAATGATGGCCATTAGATTAATCTATGGTGGTTATAAGATAGTTAGTGGTTATTAAGTAGTTAATAGTTATTAAGAGTAATTAGAATATTTTATTCATTTT